GATAGGGTCTAAAGCATGCGGGCGCAAGTAGGAATTGTCCATCATTGGGAAGATTGAAGTGTCAAATCTAGCGAATGCCCTTCGCAGCATACAGACGCGCTGGTTACCTCTTTTCGCAGCTGCCTCGGCCTGTTTTGAACAGTTGAGGTCGCTGTGTACGATCACACCAAGGTCACGTTTCTGGGATCTCGTCCGCAATCAGTTTGTCCATAGCAAATGGGTGTAGTTGTGTCTATGGCCTAATTGTACAACGCAACATTTGTCTACCTTCAATTGTAGGGCCTTTTTTGAACTTATCAGTTCAACACTATGTTAAGATCCTACTGGAGCCGTTCGTGGTCGTCCGGTCCTCTGATCCTTCGCCATATCTTGATATCATCCGCGGAAAATAGGAAATCGAAAGCAATTGATCTCGCCAAATCGTTAATGAACACCAAGAATAGACCAGGCCTCAGCACTAAGCCTTGTGGTACTCCACACGTTACATCGATTGCATCAGACAATGATTCTCGGACTCTCACCACTAGCCGCCGTTCTTGTAGAAAATCGCTAATCCAACTAAGGATTGGGTCGCCAGTGCCGTAGTTCCGAAACTTCTGAAGGAGAATTCGACGGCATAAGCGATCAAACGCTTTTGAAAAGTCCAGGTAGATGACATCGACCCCTACTCCATCATCAAGAAGTTCAGTCCAGCTATTACGTGCAATTACTAGGTAGGTATTACATGAATGCCTTTGACGAAATCCCTGTTGCTCTGGAGCTATTAAGTTGTGGGTTTCCAGATTCTGCATCAGTGCATCTGCGGCGATTGATTCCATCAATATGGATAGTACGGGAAGTAGTGTTATTGGTAGTTGGCAGGATAAGTGCGGCTACCTCCTTCATGTATAGGAGTGATGATCCCTAGTTTCCATACCGGTGGAATATCGTTCTCTTCTAGACATCGTTCATAGAAAACAGCCAGTGGTTCTGCTAGATCACTAGCTACTGCCTGCAGAGCATTTGGTTGAATGTTGTCGGCTCCGGGAGAACTGTGGATACGCAAGGATAACAACTTCTTCAACACAGCTACCGCAGTGAAGGTGCTGTTGTCTAAACCCGACGGTGGAGTAAGAGAAACAAGGAGAATATCTGGGCTCGTTACCTGCGGAAAAGTTTGAGAGTAATGAAGCCGTAGGAGATCAGCTGCCTCCATTGCTGGTCGCGTGCAACCATCAGTCTTGACGAGTGCTGGAATCCGCGCTTTACCTTTCCAAGGCCGTTAAAGTGCCTTTACAGGAGTTTGCGGTTCATGTAGAATTGCTTCATTAACTCCTGCTGATGCGTGATCTTGTCTTCGCGGATCAGTTTCACACAAGGTTACGAGCAGTCCTGGTGATGTCGCCATGCCAACTCAATCCAGGACATACATTTACTTGTTCTGCTCCTCAAAAATGACTTATGCTTGTTTTTGGGTTGGAAGGACTTCTGTTCCAATGCACGCGCTACCAGTGTGCTAACCGTCCTTGTATATGTTTCCCAGGCAACAGCTTGGGGGCACCCGGTTAAGAAACTCCTAGATGTATGCTTAACAAACTTAGATAACACAGTATAGTGCGTGAAAATATGCACTTTATCAACCTTCTTTTCAGGGTACTCCGCATAGCAAATATAGTCAAAGAGTAGAGTAACATGATCACTACGACTCAGTGGTGTACTTGTAACTATCGCGTCAACAATGGGTTCTTCGATGGTGCGCACAAGATCAAGTATCGACGACTTGTTAGCAGTTCGAAATCTCGTGGGGAGGTTAAGTGGTTGTACAGAGGGTGGATAGCAACTAGCCCTTGCAAGCAGGCTTTAAACTGCATACCGTCGGTTGCTGGTGTTTCTATGTCGTGCACATTGAAGTCTCCAGCGATAAGAATGTGGGTGTAGGGTGTTTAATGCAAACTGAAAGACGTGGTTCAGTTTGGCATCCATTTCCAATGTAGAGTTTGATGGGCGATAAATTACGGCTAGTAGACATGCGTCCTTGTTTTGCAACCGTAGACGGGACAAAAGCGAATCAAAAGTTCGGATTCCCGGGTGATCGATAACCTCACATCGGAGGTTTGTATTGTAGGAAAAATCACACCGCCAACCCTTCCAGTTCTAATGGTCCGAAACAGCGACATACTGGGTAAATTGATCTCATAATCGGTTGTCAGGATTTAACCATGTCTTTGTAATCATGACGCGGTCCAGCGGTTGTGAGACATGGAGTTCCCTGTGTTCGGCCGACGTACTTAGAAGGCCTTGGGCGTTTGTGTGCTAGCAAGATAGGGCTTTTGTTGTCAGGAGTCGTTGACGGACGTCAAGTTATGTTAGTTTTTAAGACGGCCGTTAGGTGGCCAGCCATTAATCGTTTTTTGGTTTATGTATTTCAGTCATGTTGTATGGCATTGTTGAGCCTTCCAGAACAGACGTGTTACTCGTGCTGTGCTCTCTCCTGTAGTGTGCCGTGGGCGCTGTTGTGTCGGTCTCTCCGCAGGAGTGTGCAAATAAAGCATTTGTAGCGTTTGTAAGTTCCATCGAATTGCTTCCGACATTGGCCGTTCGCCTTCTGCTTTTAGCCAGATCTCAGTTGGCAACCTAGCTCGAAACATTAACCAGCTATCCAACGGAGCTTGCGTCATTCCCTCGGAGTGTAATTTAACTTCCATTAGGCCTGGACCGCAGCCCTTGTAGTTAGGTGATGACGGAACTCTTGTCAGGGATTTGGCGATAACATTGTCAACAAAGAGTGCTTCGCGGATGTAGCACCACTGCTCTCGGTCATGTGTTTGCGCGTCGTGATCAGAAGAATGCAGAAAATCGGGAACATCATGATCAAATATTTTTTTCTTGCTGTCGCTCTTAGGAATGCCGCGTTGCTCAACTGCTTCTTTTGGGCGCTCTTTCCAAGGTAGATCAGGTAATATATGCGCTGCGCTCGGGGAGTTGCGAAGACGAACTGCTGAGTGCAGGACAGCCTCTGTCTCATTTGCTGAGTCTAGTGTTACTCGAAGCATTCGAGGTTCACCAGAGTACACTGAGGAGGTCGGGTGACGCTTTACGCGTTACAGCATTGCAGGCTCAACCCGAATACTAATTTCCCCACAGATGGAACTCCACTGGTTGCGATCATCTTGCAGCTTGCCTTATATGGGCCAGATTTTGATTCTGGAACATTGGTGCATACGTGAGTATACGCAGCGCAGTTTGGTCCAGTGAGTTTTGGCATCAAAGTTTTTGCCGACAATTCGAGTTGGTTAGAAGGCACCACTGGATTTGACGGTGAAAGCTGCTTTGCGCCACGCGTCATCGGCATTGAAGATGGACCTAGGTTTGTCGCTCCAGGTGTGTTTGTCGAGGCAATCGTTGCGTAGGTTACCTGCTTGTTATCTGTACCGGATTGCCTTCGGCTCTGAGCTGTCGGTGTCATAGCTGAATCTCCAATTGACAGTTTGCCAAATTGATCTGTAGTGTATTCAAACTGGCCAGTTTGCAATCGTGTTAAGGGCACGGTGGAGCTTTTCAAGGTCTCACGGTTCTCTGATCAATCGCCATAACTTGATATCACTCGCGAAGAATAGGAAATCGGAAGTAAGTTCCCAAGACAGAAGTAGACTTGGAAATATACTGAGCACTCTATGATTGCAACTTTATATATAGACACAAATGACTGTTCATTATAAACTATGCTTAAATTGCGTTTGCCTAGCAATCTTTAGTAACGAATTTTCCCGTCTTACGTGCGAAAGTTCTATAATGGGTGCAAATGGACCATCGATTTCAAAAACATGGTGAAAATCACATTCCTGTGGTTGACCTGCAGTGAGTGACTTAGCTCTCAACGTAGGACAATGTGATGAAGGATGGCTACTCACGATATACACTATGTTACGAAGTTATGGCATATAGTTCTTTAGTCGTGCACTTGTGACCGGCGTCATTGTTTGATATTATGAAAAGGCCGACGCTTCCATTTCGTTCGCACTACAAGCATCCTTTTCTGAACATATCCATTTAACTTTTTGATATTGGGTTTGGTCCACGTTTAGCTAGTTGAGAGTTTGCAATCAATTGCGACGACGCTGTCACTCAGGGTGTCTAGTAAAATAATGAGGTAATAGCCATCTGCTGCTGCACAGATCAGTAGAGCTTGTGGTCGATCCCACCTAAAAAGTAATGGCTACTGGAGCAAAAATAGAAGGACTAATGCTGAATACTGGTCAATTAAGTTTGTCATATATTTGCTGACTTGTTCGGGGATGGATTCATTCCGTGTACACTTGCCATCGACAAGTATCCGCGATAAAACCACCAGCCCTCCAACGCAGAGAATATCCCCTTAATTAATTGCCTCATTTCTGCAATCAAAATGCATAGCTCGGGAAAATGTTAGCAACTGAATAGCAGCAGTAGAATGCACTATTCTAATCAGCCAAAATTTTAAAACTAATTTTGGTTTCTAAGTATGGAATTTAAGCACGCAAAGGACAACTCGAAGATTAATACTTGTTGTTTCAGCAGGATTTAGAAACAATAAGTCATTAGCAAGTCCATTCTGTATGGAAAATTAGGCGAGGAACTTCAAATTGGATTTGCTCGTGCCAAATTTCTCTACAAAAATGCATTAAAAAATGGTCAACATGTTCATTTGCACCCATGAACACAATAGTGAAAGTGATTTATGTATAACTTATAGCCGGGTTATCCATCATATTTTAATTCCAGGCCAATATATGTGTGCCTATATTAGTTTCTAAAACGCTGTTGTAGAAAATCTATTCTGCCTTGTTGCGTTGCAATGAAAACAATAAATAAACGTTTATTTTCAGTGGACCGCAAGTTACTTCACAATAACGATATCAAATAGTTTTGCAAAAACTGCCGATTAAAAACACACAATGTTGATGACAACTGGAGTTACGTCTTATTTAGTTAGATTCTCAACAAGTAACTTTGAAATTCGGCCACAGCATTAGGTCACCTACCATCAATGGAACGTAGCCTTTTTCACGATCCTCCTCAATGGCCTTTTGGATATCATCGGCATCAAAAATTAATCGGCGATTCACGTACTTCGATTTAATCACATGCGTTCTAAGCATTGTAAGATCAAATGTTCGCAGAACGGCGCAGTTTAGCTACAAGAAGTCAAAGCAAAAACGGGAGTTAAGGTTCATTTTAGGTCACTCGGTCATAAATGGGAAGCTGATTTTAATTTGTTCAACTCGGACAACAGATCGAATCCTGAACAGACAACCGGAGCTACAGGCATCCCCGTGTATTGTAAGTATGGGACCTAGTCGATGTTATTTGACAACGATGAATTCGATAACTGCAAATGTAGTTTAAACCGGTACCAGCTAGTCGGTTGCGTGATGCGGCGTCTTTAAGGATCACCGCGTTTGAGTGGCTTGCGGAATTCATCCTTGGCAGGCAGTCTCTGCATGGTGAGCACGGGGTGCTCGACCTGTGCCCAACATTTCTGTTGTGCAAGTGATGCTGGATGAGGATGCCCAGGTGAATATGGTACAGCTAAGAAAAGGCATTAGGATCTCATCGGGATCAATCCGCACCATCCTACATGAGAACCTCAGCCTTATAATGTTTTGCGCACCTTGCGTACCCCAACAGCTCAGTGAGGAGTGTAAAGCAGCTCGGGTGAATTGTTGCCTCATCAAACTTGCCATCTTTGAAGATGTACGTTCCAGTGATGTTTGGGAAATCCACAGTGGGGATGAGACCTGGATGACAGTTTCGACTCACAGACTAAGCAACAATCAGCTCAGTGGACGGGCGTTGGTGGAGCGCCGCCACAGAAATTCCGGCGTGAGCGCAGTGTGGCCAAGCAGACGGCGGTTGTGTTCGTGACCACAACAGGTCATGTAATTACTGTATTTCTCAAATGGCAACGCACAGTTACCGTAGACTGGTATGACATCCACTCTCTGCAAACGTACTGGAAGTCTTCGCCAGGCGTCGTCATAAGTCTCGATCACGAAGGTCCTTACTGCACCATATCAATCCGCCTGAACACAGATCCCGTGTTGTCATATGTTTTCTGGCTAGAGAAGGCATTCAGGAGGTTGGTCACCTACCCTACGGACCATACGTGGCTCGTGTGACTTATTGTGTTCCCACATACCAAACGGATGATATGTGCAATCTGTCACGAATCTGCAGAAGCTACAGCGGAGGACTATTTTGAGATGCTTGAAGAGTTACCGGCTTCGGCATGGTCCAGCTGCTTCTCCAAATGGTTTGAGCGCATGGAATTGTGCATGGACGCTGGTGAAGAGCACTTAGAGTAAACGTGATGCCTATTTTTGTAAAAAATATAAAACGTTTGGTGAAACCGAAAACTTATTGCTCTCCCCTGCCGTGTTATTGTGAGGAGGCTGTAAGTAAATTAGGGAGAAAGTAACAAGGTCAACTGATACTACAAATTATTTCATTAGCAGTTCTCTATCATCCTGATTTCCATCTACTGTAGGCAACTCATGCGGGTTTGTTTATGTACTTTTAACCTAAATCAATAGACGATATTGCCCTTTAAATGGTCCTTCTTACCTGGTCCGATGCATACACAACGGAACGATGTGCCATGGCTCCAGGCCCTCTGCCACAGAGTAGATCCTCTTCCGTCGTAGTTGCACATTGTAGCTTGGTTGCCTGGTTCCGCAAGGCCATCGCCATAGTGAGAGTAGCAACGCTGGCATTGCACTAAATAGTGGTAATATGGGATCGTGCATTGTTTGCAAATTGATCAAATGATTTTCAATTGTTGTGATAAAACAAAAGCCTTAAATACAATCATTATTGGATCGACTTTCGAAGTGTCTGTTTCCAATGATGGGAACAACGTCATTTTAAAAAATCGCGATGAGCACGAGGATTGAATAAGCTGATGTAGAACATTTTATCTGCAGTACTTATACGTGGTTCTAAGTTGAATTAATAGAAATGGACATGGCACCGCGGCATAACGTCTAGGAATACAAGTACTCGTGGCCTCTTTGTCACCTACAGAGCATATGATATTGACGATCTGACACGATTCATCATCCCATATATGTTTAACGATAACGATAAAATTTAACATGAGGTGTTTGTTGAAAGCTCAAGAAAGTACCCAACTAGAATTCGACAAAATCTGCCGATAGTTATTAGTAATAGTCCATTGGTAATGAAGCAATATTTTGAGTCCAGCAGTTAAATGTTAAGTAAATCTCTTTCAGCCTAGTAGGCAATCAAATAGTGATAGATTTCTGCGATTAATCAAAGAAAAACCGTTTCCGAAAAATTGTTAAAATAGTGCAGCTTGGAAATTGCAGACTGTAATCGTATTTCATTTTTCAGTGGACGTATCACAATTATCATGCGAAATGAATTTCAACAATCATGAAGCCAACCCAACTGGATACTTTAGTTTGCTTCTTTGCTTTCAAATACCAATATGATGATATGAATGTAACAACGTAGCGTAGATATGTGAGTTCTTTAATCTAGTAACCAACAGCAATGTACCTCGATGGTTCCACCACCGCCCCCTATACCATCTTGACGGTTGGGATCATAAAGGAACTTCGAGGGCAATCCAAATGCCTTGGCTAACCAGTTGAGAACAATCACCTCCAGCTCTGTGGCAGTTGGGCATGTGAGCTGCAAATGGCAAATACACATACTTAAAATTAATCTGGATAAACGCGTAATTTTACTGCTCTGAAATGAACAAATTATTTGTACTGATGTCTCCTATAAGCGATCTGTGATTTGCAACAACAGGGAAATTCTGGTAGATTCCATCGTATCCATCTGTCTCACGACGTGCATATTTCAACACAAATGTCTAAATAAACGTCAGCTATTTTAGATTAATAATTAATGTACTTCACAAGTGGTTGAATGCAGTCATCAACTAGGCATGATAAATTTTCCATTCTCAATCCAACAGCTAATGTAGCTGTATTTGTTATTCATGTTAAACAATTTTTAAGACACACTCATTGGGCATGCGTTTTTATAAGATATCATGCCACTGTACAAGACGCTTTTAATTTAGCAATCGGCTGCTGTATTTATGGTGGACATTTGAAGAGTTACAGTAGTTTTTATTTAGTGACGGCAAATTTAAATATGGTTATATAAATCAAAAGCACCTTTTGTAGTCAGTACAGTGGGTCGTGTAAACATCACGCATAATGCAATGGGACCTTGAGTGCTTTTCTCATATACGCAGCCTTCTGATTCGCACATTTCAAAATGTAGCACATTAACTTGTTCCGCCAGCTTTTTCTACAAAATAACGGTATGAAAGTGAAGTTTAACAATCCAACACTTTTGAGTTTGTCGTGACCTGTCTGTATGTTCAATGCATTAGGTTGAGTGTAAAAATATAGTGTTAACTTTGTCAGCTGTTTAAATGATACTCGTATTCTTAGATCTTCTAGTCGAGATCTGTGGAAGTTGTCACGTGCAGTAGATACGGTCATCAGGAAGCTGCGTTTTTCATTCTGCCAAACCTGAATGGAATGACGAAATCTATTGAAGGACACTTATATTAAATTTGTTAATCAATACCTAGGATTGGTATATATATATATATATATTTATGCCCCATGCTGAGGCTGATGTTGCATTCATGATGCTTCTTCATCGCAGTTGGGCTAAACCAACTGACACTTAAACTAGGTCTTTTTAATGTGGAAATAATTTATTGCATTTAATTTTATTTGTTCTGCATACTTGATAATCTTCTCCTTGCTTGCACACGTCTCTCACGCAACTTGTGGTAAACTTGCGTAATTTTATCGCGTGGTTTTTTTTAACAACTTTCGGACATTTTGTACTTTTCACGGATTCACTTATAACCAATTTCTTCTATATGCTCATTTAGCGAGTATTCATGTCGTCATATGCGTTTACTTTAATCGATATCAGCATTTCGAATGATTGGCTGTTGTTTGACATCCCAAGTGTGGCTGCGCTTCATGTGCATGTTGACAAGGTGCCGACCTGTCTATTACCCACTACCTCGTCCATACTTGCTCCAGGAGACAGTTGGTCGTTGCTGGAGGGGACGGGGTATACGGTCCTTGTGGCCGTCATAGGCTCGAAGAGTGGTTCCATGCACTCAGTGTGGAGCGGACTACGGTCCAGCCACCGCCTTGTGTGTACTTGATTCCCAAATACAGCGTGCTTGTGTTTGTCTGTGAGAGAGTGTGGGCTGGCTCCGTTGATGAAACGTGGCTCCCATCCGCATGCCTCCCGGTATTATTCCTTCGGGTTTACACTAGAAATGGGGTGTGTGGATGGAGCTGTGGGTGATGCAGCGCAAGCGATCCATGGTCCCTCTGTAGACGCAGGCGTCCTGTGGCTGGCCACAGTGACAGGTAAATCCAAAACCGAATGCTGCCAACCATATATATATATATATATATATATATATATATATATATATATATATATATATATATATATATATATAATATATATATATATATATATATATATATATATATATATATATATATATATATATATATATATATATATATATATATATATATATATATATATAGGAACTCAAGTGAGCGCCCTGAGCGACTCACTGTACTGTTTGCGATGGAATTGGCGCGGTACAACATCGATACTGAGGCGGTCAGTGTGACCCGGATCGCTGAGCTGGGTACATGGCATGAAAGAAGGTGCTGCCTACACGTTCTACAGGGTGGGCGACGCCCCGTCACCATCACGTGAACATGAGGTCGGATGTGCAATATCCGATCGCCTCCATGACCAGCTGGTAGGTGAACCAACTGGAATCAGTGCGCGACTAATGACTGTTCTCCCACGACGCGTAAGGGGTAAGTTTGCCACTTTTATAAGCACGTACGGTCAGACCATATGTTATCATGATGACATGCGTGGCCAATGCTACACGCTGTTATCCTCCGTGATACGGTCTGTGCCGAGGAGCGACCGACTATTTCTGCTGGGTGATTTCAATGCGCGCGTTGGGCATGTAGCATTGGTGTGGACCTACGTCATTGGTACCTATGGCGTTGGTTAAGTGAATGCGAACGGTGACAGGCTGCTCGCACTGTGTGCTACTCATGGCCTGACGATCACGAACAGACGGTTTGCACTAAGCATGAGTGTTAAAGCAACTTGGACACACCCACGCAGTGATCACGCTCACCTGTTCTACGATGTCATCATATGTCAGAGTGATATGCGTGAAGTGCGCATGACACGTGTACTGCGTGGAGCTGAGTGTGGCACTGATCACAAATTGGTGCGGACCAAAACGTACATATACTTTCGTAAAACTATATACTGCACTTCTGTCGTGAGTCGGTGTAAAATTAATATTCACACTCTCGGTACTGTGGAGAAACGTATTAAGCTGGAGAAGGCGATGGCTGTACGCCTGTGTGATGTGACCTGCATAGCCACAGTGGACGACCTGCGGCACCATATTTGCGACCAGGTGACAGCTGCTGCGGAGGAGACCATCAGGCGTGCAAGCTGCGAGCGGCCTGATTAGTTTGATAAGAACAATGCGACGAGTGGCGCATTGGTGTCGGAGAAGAATGCAGTATTTGCTGCGCATGTGGCAGGTAGAATGGACTTGGGGAAGAAGAGAAAGTTTAGCAGAATTCGATGAGGAATGACCCGAAAGCTCCATCTCAATAAAAATGCATGATGGACGGAGAAGGCGAAGCAGCTTGAACGTTACACTGAACACCACCACCATAAGGAATTATTTGACTCATTCAAGGTGGTGTGTGGACCGAGGCTGGAGTCGCTGAACACGCTGATTGATGGTAGTTCAGGCACTACATGCACACAGACTGCAGACATAATGCCAATCTAGTAAAAGCACTGTCTCTTGAACAACCGTTCAGAGATCGACTGGCCTACTTTGAACGGCTTGCGACAGCACGATGTGAAGGTTAGTCTTGTGGACGCGCCGACACCTGCTGAGACGCAGAGAGCACCTGCTCAGCTGCGAAACGGATAGTGTGCCGTGCCGACGGGATCCCGCCTGAAGTATTAAAACATAGCGGACCTGCGTGGGTGACATCGCTGCATCACTTGGTGCAACGCGCGTGAATGGAGGAGGTGGTGCCGCCAGAGTTGAAGATTGCCCTTGCGCTACCACTGCACAACTGCAAAGGCAGCAAGTAATGTGCCATAAATTATCGTGGCATCAACTAGCTGAGTTGTGTAAGCAAGGGGGTTGCCCGAATCCAGCTCAACCGCCTCGTCAGTCAGGTTGTAGAACCGAACGTGGCGGAAGAGCAATGTGGATTCCGTTAGGGTCGAAGCAATGTCGATATGGGTTTTGCGGCTCGGCAGTTGCAGGAGAAGTCTAGAGAACGACACAGGCCTTTGTAATCGCTTTTTGTTACATTAACCAAGGCAATTGATACAGCGAAAGGCGTGGCATTGTGGCTGGTGTTGCATAAATTTAGTCGTCTGAATAAATTTGTAAGTTTAATTGAATGTCTGCACAGTGGTATGTGGGCGAGTGCACAGCTGAGTGGATATACCTAGGATAAATTTGCGGTTATCTCTGACATTAACCAAGACTGTATCTTAGCTTCTGCCCCGTTTACTTTTTATCTTCATGCCATTATATATTGTGCTTTTGGTGCAGCTGGTGCTTGCTGTGTTCCTGTGGAGCACCGTATTGTTGGTGGATTGCTGAACATACGTTATTTCGGTGCGAGAACCATAGTCCGTACGACAACTATCTGTACGTTGTTGAATGCTGACGGCTGTGTTTTGTTTGCACATAGCGCGGATGAGTTGCAACACTTGACTAATGCTCTGGCTTCGACAGCGGTCAAACTCAGGCTCACCATCAACAAAAGCAAAGCTGCCTGTCGCTTTCAGCCTTCACCAGAGGAGCAAATCTTCAATATTGCCACAAATCAGCATTGGTGCTGAAGTATTGGAAACCACCTCCCGCTTCTGCTACCTTGGGAGTGTGATGTCGACTGATCAGCAGCTATAGAGTGAGCTGCGTATCCGCTTGTCGAAGGCAGCGGCGGCATTCGGAAAGCAAGGGTACTGCATGTGGAACAACCATCAGCTTACCATTGGCACGAAGCTGATGGTGTACAGATCCATGCCGCTGTCCTTTCTTCTATACGGCAGTGAAACGTGGACGATGTACCGGCGGAATGTGCGATATCTCGAGCGGTTCCATCAGCAGTGTCTGCGACGGATTTTGCGCATCGGCTGGGGCGACAGGGTTGCGACAAAGTAAGTGTTGCCCCGAGGTGGAATGTATGCAGCGGTCTGAAGACTTTTGTTGTGACACCTTAGGTGGCTCGGTCATGTGTGGTGTATGGATTCGACGCTGATACCGAAGCAGCTATTATATGGTCAAATGAGTTTGGGAAAGCGCTATGTGGGGAAACCAAAGCTTCGTTCCCAGGACATGATTAAAGTGAGCCTTTCACTTTCTAATCTTGATTGCAGATCATGGGAATCAAAAGCGGTTGCTCGGGCGTACATTGCGCGATCTGATCACAAAAGCCGTTGCCGAGGTGCAAGAGAAGTCCGTCGTGCATGCAGAGAAGAGGCGACCATTGAGCAAGCGTCAGGCGCCGATGGGTTGTACTCCATCGACTTCGTGTACAAGGTGTTGTAGCTCATGCGGTCGTGAGTGCCTGACTCAGGCAGGCCTTGTGAGTCATGAGCGAGGCCACTCGGGGCCTCCACCGAAACGACGACAAGTCCTGCTGAGAATCGGAGCAGCGCTTGTAGGTGCGCTGCATTCGCTTTACTAACCGCTTGCATGGATGTCGGGCCTCTTTATTTCAGGTGGTGGGTTTGCGATTTTGTCCTAATGCTATTTTATCTCATAGTACTGTCTACCTGAACTATTTTGATAACCATGCACACGTAAGTTAAACAATTTGGGTTAACTTAGATAACATTTTCGCGTTTATGTCATTTAGTTAAAAGCTATTTTCTGATCCCTTGAACTTATGGCGGACTTGTTCGTAACCAATTTATTCCAAATGCTCATTTATTGAAGAGTTGTGTCACTGTAGCTGTATGCGTTGTTCGTTTTATCCTATTGGAGATCGTCGTTTCAAGTGATTGGCTGTTGTTTGGTATCCAACGTGTGGTTGCGGTTGTTGTGCAGGTTTTCTACGTGCCTACCTGTCTAGTACCCACTACCTCGTCCATACTGGCTCTAGGAGACATGTGGTCGTTGATAGAGGGTACGGGGGTGCACGGTCCTTGTGGCCTTTCTAGGTTTGAAATGTGGTTCCATGCACTCAGTTTGGAGCGAACTACGGTCTAGCCACCGCCTTTTGTGTGATTGATTCCCAACCACAGCGTGTTTGTGTTTGCCTGTGAAGGAGTGTGGGCCGGCTCGGTTAATCATACATGGCCCCAAACATATGCCTTTCGATTTTATTTCTTCGGGTTTACACTGGATATGGGATGTGTGGTTGGAGGTGTGGGTGATGCAGCGTGAGCCACCCATGGTCCATCTGTAGGCGCAGGCGTCCTGTGGCTGGCCACAGTGACAGGCAAATCCGAAAGCGGACACTGCCAACCATATATATATATATATATATATATATATATATATATATATATATATATATATATATATATGCATGTGCGTCCACATACTGCCGATATCCATTATATATAAAGATAAAGATATATATATATATATGTGCATAGGAGTCTGTGACTACAGTTTCACTCACCCAGTTGAAAACAAATACTCCGATGGAATTAGTGAGCAAATCACCCAAGATAGCCGGCAGTGAGCATGCTGCTGGATAGTAGGCGTGAAAATCAGGATGTTGCCAATGCGTCAACTAAAATACAATTTGGTCGTATTATAGTTATGATACAACACGCGTTATCTCAGAATACAAAAGAGTTTTAGCGTGGGAGGAATTGTATCGCATTAACAATATATATTTAGCTTTAATTGCATGCTTGGTATCAAGACAGCAGAACATTTCATTTTCATGAAAACATGCAAAAAACAAATAATGACGATATAGCTTATCCGTCATATTGAGTAAATTCAGCTTAACCTGAATTAACTTACTAATTACCCAGCCCTATCCAGCAGTACGCATGACCTGTTACCTCTATGAGAATCCTTCTTTAGTACGCAGCTCCCAAATTTTACCTGGTTTCAAGAAAACACTACCAGCCTATCAGAAAATTACAACATATCAAGAACATGTGTAAAAACGATGGAAGATAATCACCTATTGCCAAATGAAACAGCATGGTTCACTGTTTAACCATTGTGTGAAATGGAGCAGCAATCAAACAGCGACTGCAAATATCAATTTTCTCCCTGTCGGAAGTCTAGGGCTGAGGGAGTAGTTGCGTGTGGGACTTAGGCACAACCTACGTTAGGGTGGTTCCTCCTAACAACTTTCACCTAGACATCCAGTGTCCATCCGGAAAACTGCTGGATGACGAATTCGTAAATATTGTGTCGTCGAGATTACACATACCTTTTGTCCCTTCTGAGGACATAATTGGCGCATTAAAGCTTTCAGTTTTGCAGTTAATAACTCGCGTCATTCAGGTGAGTGGCCACAGCCATGACTATGAGGTGGACTGTGAAATGACGCAAGTACTCATTTGACATTGACATATACTTTCCAAACGTGCACAGAACAATTGTGAAACCTTAAGTCGTGAATGTGCCTCACACGGAACAACTACTGTTTAGGTTGGACACTTCATGAAATTTGTAAATCCGAATAAAAGTTTGCTTAAAAGCTGTTTCAATAATACACGGAAGCGTAACCGCAGATTTGCAGCTTCTAGCTCTGCGGAGTAGCGAGAAATTGTACAGAGCTGACTAATTACAAAAAAGTGAAAGTGCCATCGGGTGAATTTCTTGGCATCCAGTTCCTGCATGAATGAGTGTGACTGTGACTATCTCCATCCAGAAGCCTTAATTGTTTGCTGTAATCAGACTCATCGCAGTATTTGCTTTGTCGACACAACCCTTAATATACACAGGCAATATTGGATGCACTTTTTAAGTGATCAAGGATAGAAACAAGGGAAGGAGTTTTTAGCCAATAAGGAATGAGCTGCTTCATGCAATTGCTTACCACAGTAATTATAGTTGACCCCACTGATAAACGCAAATGTAAGGGTATGCTGGTCACCAAGAAAATGACTTTTGAGAAGTCAGTCTCCTACAAACCTTAAGTTTATTTATTTTTATGTGGTAACCATAAAAACAATAAAGCAACCTTTTGCGCCAGGTCAACCAGCATATGCGTAAGAGATCCTGCATGCTGACTAGAGAGAAATTGGAAATTTCGATACTCGGTATGCGAACCACACATAATGCGCGTCGTTAAAACGATAGGAAAACTGCATTGCAAAGGCAGGGTTGTGTGGATGAGAATGCACCAGGCAAAAAGGATTGGCGAGTTCTTACAGCTGATGTTGTCATAACAAACATTAATGCTGGTCACATGTCTTTAATGATTTAGTTCAGCTAGCCTGCGTTATGAATTAAAACGAGTTGGCTCGTCGTAAAACTTGTCTGAACACCCAACCACATAGTGGGTACTCTCAATTAAACTATACAACTGCTAACCGTTATGTCTATGCGCTGCTCACTGATCTCATTGGCTTAGCGAACAAGCTGTCATTCATTATACAATAAGCTTAGTCTTCTATTCCAAACACAGACTGTCTCTATGTAACGAGCCAGAACAAAAGACGAAACTGGTCATGGGGTGTCAGTGTAGGGAAGGATTAACATAAAAATTTATCCACGTCAGATGCGGCATGAGTGACAGGAATGGCGTAGGTCTGCCTCAAGATATACCGACATCACAGTAGTGTGTGCGTGTCTCAATCCAATCCTACGGCGGGTGCCGTAAATCCAGCTTCTAGAATATCCGTTCACCTACTGGAGTTTAATTTTTAAAGGGGTCGACATACATAAATAAGGTCACTCAGTATGTCGTATGGAGTACGATGCCTTCCGGTACAAGCCACTGATGTTTGCTAACTGGTACGAACCTGGTTATTTTCCATGCACTGAGTAGCCAAGACCGGCCATTATCAAAGGGGGCCACAGAGCATTCCTGGAGGCGCTGGGATAAGAAAGGTTTTAGGAGGTCATAGGGGGGCCAAAAGTGGGTTGAGATAACAAAAAGAAGAAATTTCATTTAAAAAGTTTCCTGCTAGTTTCTCTTCACGAAACGTTTCCCCTAGGTGAGTATTGGGCAGTGAAATGAATTACGCACGCAAGAGTAGCTGTTTATGAAGGTGTGAAATCCAGACCGAACAGACTTTCTGTTGCGGATCCGAAAGAGCTCGGCATATTTGCGCAAATTTCGCCGGACTGAGAACGAACACACAATCACTCTACAGCGACTTAGACTGTGCAGCTAAAAATCAACTCGTCCACAGGTCTTTGTTGCTTATCCACAATGAATTAACTGAGCTTAACTTGGGACACTAATGCCTCAGCTTTGCAAACTGCAACAATCCTGACGAACTCTCGTCAGAATACTGCGGTAGTTACCGCACAATGCCGCATTGCCACTAACTGAGTTTTCCTCAAGACATTACCATTGTGTCATAACTCACGTGCCGAGCAGTCTTTCACTTTTGGGTCACAAGGCGGTAGGGCGAGGTTACGCGTATTTAGTCTCCAGTCTCATCTCGCATCTACGTCTGGAATTTAGCTCACGTTCGCTCGCAATATGCTGATTTCAATTGGGTATTCTGAGCGCATGGGGTACTAAATAATGTGTGCATGAAGATACCTCTCCTAGTATTCATAATAATAAAAGTACTTGCCAGCACGCATTAGGTGCCATGTTTGGCAATAACCGATGCACATTATTAGTTTCGTAGTTGACTATCCCAAGACTGCTTCCTGAACTCTCCGGCACTTGGTTCCGTATTCGTCACTTCGTCCTTCATTTTCTCTGATGTCACGGTTTGCTACAATTTTACTGTGTCCACCGAACATTGTTATTTTCCGAGTTCCACTTGTTTGGTTCATTTGCTTTTGTCAAGAATATTTCTTCGGTAATTTTAAGTGTCCACATTATTTTCAAAGTCATTCCCAGAAAGCCCCTTTGTGTTGGCTTTACAGAGTTTCTAGACTTTGACGTTTTATTATTGTAGCCACCAACAGATGTTATAAGTTTGCTTATCAAACGCCCTATTATCTCACGCTCATGCAAAAAGATATTTAGTGCCAGCAATCCTTCATACCATTTGCTTGTTTCGCCTAGTCGAATGATGTGTTTTATTACCTATTATGTAAGCGTATAAGAAAAATGAAAACTATGCAATATATATGTATATATTATATCTTAAAAATTTATATATACCCATTGCAGTAATGAGCACCTCTGAAAAGAAGTGTCGGCAGTAATCCGTGGAATACCTGTCATTTGGATTTATCGAATCAAACCAAAACCTCACTGTACTTTTATGTTCAATTTGTCTAAACATCTTCAAATAAAAGTGTGTAACCGAGGAAACTGAAAAATCATTCGTAAAGTGCTCATAAGGAGGAAAGCGGAATGTCTGGGAAATTGTGCAGGAAGCTGAGAGGTAGTTCAGAAAACATACCAACTTTATAGACAGTGGTTTCTGACGGCAAAAGCAAATGGACTTACGACGTCTTAGAAAATCAGCAAGTTGATTGCTAACACTTGCAGTACACATATTGTTGGGGAAAATACTCTCTTGCCTCCCATATCAATAAAAATGTCGGACATGGTACATACGAATTCACAAGAGGCAGCTCAAGCCATTCCGCTCAGAAATTCGACTTTATCTAGACGTATGGATGAGATGGCTCAAGACATAGAAAGCACCATCGTTACTTTACTACAGTTCAGAAAATGTATGTTATACGTAGATGAATCTACTTTACCTTATAAGGACGCTCATCTCATGACATATGTTCGATAATTCACTGATAATAAGCGGGTGAAAGAAATACGGTTTGCAAGTAGAAGTAAAGCTAATACAAACTTTCAGTCTATGTTTGAGGTAGTCAATAGCTATCTGGCTGTAAACTCCATTCCAATACGGAACATATTTGCGTGTGCACTAGATGGTGCTGCCGCAGTGGCCGGAAAATATAAATGGTTTATTGCCGATTTAGAAAATGTTCTCTCTACTGTTCATGCACTTCTCTTTGTGATTCACCGAAAGCTCCTAGTAGCTAAGAAATTGGGAGATTGATTCAACTATTACTAACTGTTATATTAGTTAACAATGTTGAATTACATTCTCTTCAACATTGCCTTTTCCAACAGTTGTGTGTAGATAACAGTTAAGAGTTTTAGGTCCTCCTGTTGCATGCAGAATTTAGTTGGCTCTTTAAGGGCAACTGCCTTCAGCATTTGTTACACTCTGGGGCACAAACGTCACATTCCTTTCTGGAACTGATTATCATAAACTGTTAAAATTTAAGCCAGATGTGTTTTATCTGGCTAATGTTTTTAAAAAAGAACCCAATTTATTTGATAAAACTCTTCAAGGGAAGTTGTGTATCTCATTTCGAGTAAAAAATGCAGTATCGCTTTTCTAAAAATGCTGGAGCTGTATGCTTCAAACATCGGACGTCGAGAACTTGCAGTTGCTAATACTTGCTACAGTCACGGAGAAGCTGATTGACGAAGACTTGATTGTTTTATGCCAGTCATTCGCAACAACTCCGGAAAGAAACGAAAGTCAGGTTTCACGACGTGGTTGACATGGAAGTTCCGATATGCATTTTAGCTTCATTTGGTCTACCCCCCAGCGATGTTGGAGTTGAAATGCAGGAAAGTCTCATAGAGCTTCAAAG